TAAAATAATTAAAAAACAGTTGCCCGTATTGTAAAAAATTCGCTGTACCTAAACTTTATTGACTGACTGTACAGCATTTGATTTTCTACAGGATTTATATACTCTGTTATCAAACATCGCACGTGGAACAAAAATTTCGAACTTCTACAAAGAGAACAACAGATTTGACAACGTCAACAGGGACGAAATAATAGCTATTTTAATCGAAGAAATATGTTACGGAAACATTAAGGACTAAAGAAAACTATGCAAAAGACTTATTGGAGCATAACTTTCAATTGACAGGAATTAAAGAAGAATGTATGTTCAACAGACAGTTACCATGTTACACAAAACTTTTGTTTTGATATAATGCATGATTTGTATGAGGGTGTATGTGCTTACGATGTGTGCAATGTTTTAATGGGGTTAATCAAAGAAGAAGTTGTTACTTTGAACGTCATAAATAATAGAAAACCATACTTTCAGTTTGGGGAAACCGAGTTCAGAAATGTTTCACCCGCTTTGGACTATGTAAAGCCAAAAAACTTTAACTTAAAAATGACGGCAAGTGAGGCAAAATGTTTTACTCACTTTTTGCCTTTAATGATTGGAGATATTGTTCCAACTGAGAACAATCGGAAATTCTAGATTTTTTATGCGAATCGACATACTTGCCCCAAGAACTAACTAAATTACAACATCTTGTAGAATAAGACCATTTACTGCACATTAAATTATATGGAGTGCTAAAGCCCAATACTCGTGGGAAGGGTTCAATCGATACCACTAAGGTATCACTCTAATGAGTACTTGTACTCAAAAGACTGAAAGTATCGAGACCTACTCAGTATCGAGTACTTACTTGAATTGTTTTCATTTTCTCTTTCGAGAGATACTTCCCTTTTTTGTTGTAAAAGGTCGTATGATTACGTCTTATCATGGTTTAAAACATTGTATGTCAAAATCAAATAAAAAGGCAATAAAGTTGCAGGTATAGAAAACGTATATATTTAAGTTATTTAGTAAGAATACAAAATAATTATTAATTAATATTTGTGGTACATTAGCAAGGAACAGTATTGGTTATAATTTTTTCAGTCATATGAGTGTATAGGTCAACCAATATGGATAAGTTTCGGATTTTTATTTTTGTTTTTATTTTCAAATTAGTTTTATTCACTTTTTTTTATAAATAATATAGTTCATTCCATAACAAAAACCTTGTTAATCCAAGTTTAAAACTTTGTACAAAAATTAAAAGCAAATCAACAAAGTTTCGTCAAAGAACGTAAATAATAAGAAGGGACAACTTGTGCCTTCTCTTTTGCGCTAGTACGTTTTCATCAAAATTCCACACTTTTTATTCTGAATAAAAAGTGTTTAATTTTGGTGAAACTTTGATTTTCTTTTAATTTTTGTACAAAATTTGAAACCTGGATTTACGTGGGTTTTGTCATAGAATGAACTATATTTTTTATAAAAGTAGCTAAAATTAATTTGAAGATAAAAATAAAAATCCGACACTTATCCATAAGGTCACCCCTATAAGTATACAGCGCACTGCATCATTTACAAACTATTTATGAAGAAAAAAATTGTATTGTTTATTTTGGTACATTGCTGAGGAACAATATTAGTTATAATTAATTAAAAATATTTATGGAAAAAATAGCTTTTGGGGCACACTGCCAAGAAACAACAACTTTTCTAAATGCTTTCCAGACAGGCGATTTCTACTTTCTCTACTACATGACCGCACTTTTCGCGAAAACTCTTATAACGGGCGTCATTTGTTGAGTTGCCGTTGCAATAGAAATTACTCTTTCGGTACCAAGTTCTTTTTTTTGATACTTACTCGATACCGAACAAAAAGGTATCGAGTAAAAAAATACTTGGTATCAAATGAAAAGTATCGATTCCTACTTGTGGGGAATGCGTTTTAAGGCAAAACACAAAGAAGCCAAAACATATTTAGGTAATACCACATCCAGACTGAGTTCTCCTTATTCACTGACTGTTAAACCTGGATTACAATTTGCCAAATTTTTACTAGACCATGAGAGCGGTGTGGAAAACGAAATTGAATATAATTCCCTTAAAACTATAAATTTAACAAAAACAGACTACTTTTCTGAAATTGTTTACAATGAAAGTATTTATTATAACAATTGCCTAATAATAGAGGAAGTTTTTTATAAAAACACGAAATATAAAACAAACTTTTATTTAGCTTTCCAAAGCGATGTATTCAAACTTTATAAAATACATAACTTTTTATATCAAAACGAAAAGGTATACGTATTATGTTACCAAATCCATATAAAACAAGTAAGAAAGTCTAAGTTCGGGCGGAGCCGAACATTAAATACCCGGCGCAAGTATTAAATATATGTTTTCCACCTTTTCGAAAGCTACCGCTACATGATAAGCCGGCGTGTATAAATTTTTAGTAAACTAGCGTCCTTAAATTTCAAAATATTGAAATTTCAAGCATTTCTGAAATTTACCGTTATATGAAAAGAGGTCGTAATTTTAGTCCGATTTCAACAATTTTCAATGGTTTACTTTTATGTGGCAAGCACAATAACCATACCGAGTTTGGTACAAATTGCTAGAACGGTTAGCGAGATACATATACGTGATCATAAGTGCGCGGTGCCACGCCCATTTTCCAAAATTTTATCATAAACGTATTTCCTGGCAAAGAATTGTTGCAACCATCATTATGAATAAATTAACTTTAATATTTACTGATTTATCGAGGATTTCGTATTTCTCGAAATTACCGTTATATGGGATGTGGGCGTGGTTATTGTCCGATTTTAAAAATTTTCGGCCATTTGGTATGCTGTACCAGGGCCAACAACTGTGCCAAGTTTGGAATAAATTGATGCAGCGGTTACCAAGATATACACATGTAACCATAAGTGGGCGTGGCTACGCCCATTTTCAAAAAAATGTTAATATTCTTATTTTTCGTCTAAAATTTATTATAAATATCAAGTGAGTGAATTATCTTCAGTAGTTACTAAAATATCGCAGTTTTTGTATTTCTGAAAATTACCGTTATATGGGAGGTAGGCGTGGTTATTGTCCGATTTTGCCCATTTTCAATACCATCCGTCCTACGCCCGAAAGATATCTTAATTTTTACTCGAGTTATCGTGTGCACAGACGGACGGACGGACGGACAGACAGTCACCGCTGAATCGATTTCTCTTTTCATTCTGATCATTTATGTATACATTTGTCTATATCTATCTCGATTCGTTTTGCCTGTTACAAACAACCGTTATGTGAACAAAGTTATAATACCCTTGTGCACAAGTGCGCTCGGGTATAAAAATTTTGTACGCATTTTCAATCATTCGAAGTTGGCAGTAAAATTGATGAAATTCATATTATTGAAATATCCAAATTTTTAAGTAAGCCATTGCACCTGTATTCAATAAATAATGACAATACTTATTGTAGAGTTAAGTATGTTTGATTTTGTATTTATTATACCGTGACTCAATTGTCCATACAGTGATTATTTTACAATTTATAACAATTCAACAAATTTTCATTAATATTAAAAACAGAATTTTTAGTATATATTTATGTATGTACATGAAAATTAATTCAAGCGTGCGTTATATGGAGGAAAACAAATCACAAAAATCAACGCGAATTTTGAGCCACTTCAATTTGCACTTTGCATAATAAAATTGAATGGGCTGAAAACTGCGTACTAAAAATTCCGTTTAAAAAATGTATAATTTTTAAGAAAATTTTTTAGAATTGTTCTAAATTTTAAACGAATTTTGAAATTTTGATTTTTTTATAGTATGAACAATTTTTTTATAAAAAAATTAACAAAAAAAAATTACTGGTTTTTTAAATTAAAATAAAAGTTTTTGTTATTTTTATGGCCTTTATAACAATTATATTCAAAAATTAAACAATTCAACAACCACATGATCAAGTGAATTGCAGCGGAATAGCTGCGCTTGATTGTAGTTGGCTTAGCAAAGTG